ATAATCTTCCCTCTGTGTGAATCGTGACCATATGCTGTCCCTTGTGAGTTCAGGGCCAGAATCTATTCCACTCACACGGCCTAAAAAGCTATAAGCAGAAAATGGGCCTACCATGGGCAGAGGCACCACGCAAGAGTTTACACAGGTCTGTCTCAAGGAATATCCCCCAGCCCGGCACCCAAAGCAGTCCCAAGAAAGTTTCCCAGAAAACAAGTCCCAAGATGCGTGCATGGACAATTAAAGTCAACATGTCCTGGGTTGGGCGTCTTATGCAGGTTCTTGATGTCCTAAACAAAGAATTGAGCTGGACACCCAAGAGAACCAGCAGGATCAATGGTTTATTAGAAAAAGAAAAGACAAGACCCACTCCGTAGGATGAGATCAGGCAGTGAGAAGAGCTCAAGGCACCAAGGGGACTTGGTGTTGAGGACTTTCAGCCCTAGGGCTTGGGGTCAGATTGAAGGTTTGGTCTGAGACAGGATGACTCCTTCCAAGGAGAGGCTTGACTCAGCCAATCCTCCACTGGGTGGTGGAGATTTGACCTTTTGTGGCCCTTAGAGGAACTATCATGGTGCCCCAAGTGTCAGGGGACCAATCTGCATAGTCAATGACATGGTAATTAGGTCTGTCTGGGTCAGCCAAAGATTGCAGAAGACCACCAGGTATGTTTCAGGAACCTGTTGTGTAGAAGCTGAGTCACCTAGTTACCTTTTCCCATTGTATTTCGAGCTGGGCATCCCAGTCCAGGGCTAATGTTCAATTCAGAAGGTGGACCTGGTCCCAGAAAATCAGCTCCAAGGAGGGCTCTCCTTTTTTCCCAGTTTTTTCCTTGGTTACCTGATGCCTCAGATCTAGCCCAGAAAGCAGGTTCCAAGACTCTTGTCTCTCTCCAGCCTTTTCCCCAGCTAGCTCCTGCATCAGAAACACATCAGAAACAAGCGGCTCTGAGCAAGAGTCAGCAGAAACAATTGCCACAATCTGGCCGGCAAAGATGGCAAATGCTGAATTTTCGGGTGTAGAGTATAAAATCCATCATAAGTATTTTTATATGTAAAAATAGGTATCAAAAGTACGACAAAAGAAAATAAGATCAAGAAGAATGGCCAGGCTGACTTCAAAAAAGGATCAAATAAAATCTCTAGAAGGGGGAAGTATAGTCATGGAAGTGAAAAATTTAACATGAACTAATTAGGATTAGACAGAGGATGAGACACAGCTGAGAAGAGAATTGGTGAACTGGAAAGGAGATAAAAATGCATTTCTCTGGAAGCAGTGGAGAGAGACAAAGCAATGGAGACTACAAAAGCAAAACCAAGAGAGATGTGGGTGAAATGAGGAGGCCTAACGTGCGTGTGATCAGAGAGCCAAAAGGAAGCATTGGAATAGGGGAGACCCCAGTTCAAAGAGAGAATGGCTAAGTTTCCCAGAATCGTTGAAAAGCTCCAACCCTCAAATTCAGAACGCTCAGTAAATCCAAGCAGGCTAAATAATAAAGAGATTTCCACCCAAACTCACCATGACCAAACTACAGAATATCATAGACAAAGAGAAAAATCTTAGAAGCCGCCAGAGATAAAAGAGAGGTTACCTAAAAAGAAATGTCAAATAGACCAATGGTACTCTTCTCAAAGAAGCTCTGGAAGCCAGAGGACGAGAGAATAACACCTTCAAAAAGCTGAGAGGAGATATCTGTCACAGAGAATTCTATAACTTCTGAAACTATTTTTCAAGAAGGAGAGCAAAATAAAGACGTGTTCGGACAAACAAAATGTCAGAGTTTGCAACCAGGACCCTCACTAAAGGAAATCGTGGAAAATAAATCTCAGGAAAGAGGAAGATGATCTTAGCCAGAAGGTCTCCTACGTAGAGAGTGAACGAAGAAAGGCTGAAAGGGGGAGGATATTTCGACCAACAACCACTGTTTGATGTGTTCGGTTATGGCATTAAAATGAACGAGAGAGACTAGAAGTACAACTGCAGAAGAGGTGACCAGAGGGGATGGGAGAGATGGGAGGAGGGTAGAGACAGAACCGAGGATGACAATGACGTGCTAAATATTCATGTTACACTTTCTAGGGTAATTATAACTGGATGGAAATAGCGTTTATTATAACTTTCTCGTTCATAGGGAAAAACAGAATCATGGCGGGGGCTGTCAGTAAATGCAACTGAAAGCAAGAAGAGAAAGAAAGGAAGAGGAGGGACGGGGAATATGAGGACCAGAGAGCTAGCAGCCGGTCCCAGGTCACGCAGCAAGCTGGAGGCATCCCGCAGATTCCCGGACTTCAGTTCCAGTGCTTTCCCTCCCCCAGCTGAGCATCTTTCTCGGTCTAAATGGGGATTCTGAGAGCAGTAATCTAGACCCTGGCAGACTTCCCAACTGCAGTGGGGCCACAGCGCTCGGGAGATGCACGCAGAGGTCTATGTGATCACCAGATGCAGCATGCTAACCCTCCCTGTGTGCAGTGACCGACTGGATCTCACAAGAACTCCATGAGATGGGACATAGTGACGTGCTCCTCTGCAGATGTGCTCCCCAGAAGTAATGTCCCCAGGGTCACACAGCTGCCATCCTGCCTTGGTGCTCCTGGCTGGGTACTGGACTGTGCTTACCAACATCTGCCTGCAGGCTCTCGGAAGTAGGCAGTGTCCTGGAATGATCCTAATTACAGCTTGCATCCCAAACAATACATAAAACAGCCATAAAGGCTGTTTTGGGCTGCTTGGGGGAAATTTGAATATGTTCTCGATATTAAATGATGTTATTGTAGCACGGTTTTGTGTCTTGAATGCGATCGTGATATTGGGGTTATGTAAGAGGCTGTCCTTAGGAGACAGATGCTTGAGTATGTCGCAGAGACGTGTCCTGGTGTTGGGGACTTTCAAATATTTCCAGGAATGAAATACAAAAGGGGCAATGAAGCAAATCCGACAGAGTGAACCCTATGTGCCTATGGCTGTATCAATAGCAAACCACCCACAAACTTAAAATGACAGCTATTTACAGTCTCTTGCCAGCCCATGATCATCAGCCAGGCGGAGCTATTGCCCAGAGCTTGCCTGGAGTCCGTCAGCAGCTGGTGGGTGGGCTGGACCTGCGGGTCTAGGGTGACCCCAGCTTATGTAGCATGGCTCTCCCTCAGCATCCCCGGGAATGGCTGTCCCAGAGGCCCCGTGGCAGTGGCAATGGTCCGAGAGAGGAAGAAGACAAGGGAACACAGTGTTTCCCAGCTGTTTCTTGTATCCGATGTGTTGCTATCCCGTTGGTCAAAGCATATCACATGACCAAGCCTAGCTTCAGAGTGGGACACTGGGAGACAAGTTACCATGCTGTATTACTATCTTTGTTTAAAGGTAGATGTGAAATCTTTCAAAACAGAGTCAGAGTGGTGCCACGGTGATAAGATAGCACTGCACATCTATTAGAATGGCCAAACTCCAGGAGGCCAGCGCCGGCGAGGATAAGAGGGTCGGGAACTTTCCCTCTGCTGGGGGGATTGTAAAACGGTACAGCCACCTCGGAAGCTGCGAAGCAATTTCTCCTGAAATTAACTATGCTCTTCACATAGATCCAGCCATCGCCAGCCTTGGGATTTATCCAAGTGAACTGGAAATGTGTGACTACCCAAAAAAGCCGCCCGTGGATGTTTATAGCAGCTTCATTCCTTATTGTCAAAACTTGGGAGGAAAGAAGACGTCTTTCAGATGAATGGATAACGCTGTGGTACATCCAGACAGAGGAATATTATTCAGCGTTAAAAATAAACAAGCTACTGAGTCCTGCAAAGATGCAAAGGAGCCTTAGATGCATATGACTTCATGAGAGAAGCTGAAAAGACAGTGTGCTTCTCTGATACTCTGAAGAACAAAGCCATGGAGACTCTGAGATGAGAGGTTGCTGGGGTGGCTGTGGGGCAGGAGGGAGGCACAGGCAGGGCCTGAAGAATTTGGAGGCAGGGAAAAATACTCAGCACAAGGAGGAACTGCCTCATGGTGCATTTATCCAAACCCACAGAAGGAACGATGCCCAGAGTGAATCTGGATGTAAACTTGGACTCTGGGTTCATCTATTGTGGACCACTCTGCTTAGGGCAGGGAGAGGATGAGGAGTCTCCGTGCCTTCTTAATTTTTCTGTGAATTTAAGACTGGTCTTTAAAAAATGTCTCAAAGAAGCCAGGCATGGTGGCGCACGCCTGTAATCCCAGCACTCGGGAGGCTGAGGCAGGAGGACTGCTGTGAGTTTGAGATCAGCCTGGGCTACATAGTGAGTTCCAGGTCAGTCTCGACTATAGTGAGACCCTGTCTCAAAAAAACAAAAAAAATTTTTTGAAGTCTCAAAAAGGAAGCCAGAAGGGCAAAGTCTCATTTTAAAAAACCAATACAATCCCTTCGTTCCTCTACTTTACTACCTCCATGGAAAGACACATACAAGAGCATTGACTGCAGTGTACCTAGTAGGCGAAGCCCCAAACCACGATGTCCACCAACCATAGCAGAGAGGTATTAGGTGATCTCTGTTCCTGCTGGAGAATAGTACACAGTCATGAAAAAGAGTCAGTCAGCCACATGCAGGACATGAATTGAGTTTTACAGATGATGGTGAGAGAAAAAGGGGAAACTCAGACGAGTCCTTGCTGTATAGTCCAAGCTTGTGAATTCAAGGAGAGAAGGGACAGGGTGGGGACACGCAGGAACGTTTTGGGGGTGCTACCCATGCTCTATGTCTTGATCGGGGTGGTGGTTGCATGGATGTTTACATGTGAAAACATTATCGAACTGGATCCATAAGATTTGTGCACATGCAAACACCCAAAGTTGGATTTCTTCCTTCTTTTCTTTCTTCCTTCCTTTTTCCTTTCTTCTCCCTTTCTTCCTTCCTCTTTTCCTTTCTTTCCTTCTGCACTGGCAGTTGAACCTGAGCCCTTTTCACTGAGCTACATCCCCCTTTTAAGATGTTTTATTTCAAGACAGGGTCTCCCTAAGTTGCTAAATTGTCTGGGTTGGGCTTGAACTTGTGAGCGTCCTGCGTCAGCCTCCCTGCATGCTGGGATTCCGGGTGTGTCCCACTGTACCTGGCTGAAGACTCGGTTTCTTGGTGCTCCCAAATAAGATCTAAATCTCTTGAAACTCAGCTCAATTCAATTCAACGGGGCAGGTTTATTCTTCTCTCTCCAACGTGGCAGAGACAGCAAGCAACATAATCTGCTTAGCATCTCTTCCCACCTGGCACCAGAGCTCGATAAACGTGTGCTGATCTGCATGGGGACCTCAAGGATGAGGACCTTCAGGGTCCCCTGGCATCGGATGGTGACATCCTTGGTCCAGGAGCTTCTTCCAGGCCCACTTTGGGGACCGTGTCCCCCTTCTTCGTCTTTTCCACCCCTCGCTGTCGCACTTTACAGTCGTTATCAAACATAATGATTCTTACCCTGGAGAGAAAAAGAAATTGGTTCCATTTTATATTTTATGGCCTCCAAAAGGACATTTTTTACCTTCCCACAGTCTGCAGCCAGTAGGAACAGGACAATAAATTTCAGCAAAGATTCCCACTGAGATAGATGGTCCAGCCAGGGACCACAGTCTTCCAAGCAGGGAACAAGAGAATAAACAAGCAGTCGTTGCCGCTCTGCCAATCCTGTTCCCAGCGCGTGGGTGGGAGGGCGGTGGCTCCAGGCCCCAGAAGCCGAGGGGGGGGGCAGGTGCGTGGGTGGAGGAGCAAAGGCCTGAGCTTCCTGCCCTTTCCCCAGCTCCCCTCTCATTCAAAGATGACACAGATGCTTATCGGGCACCTGCAACACCGACAGATGCTTATTGGGTACCTGCTGCATGTCTGCCACGTGCCTTATCAGTGCTGCTTCCCACAGCCCTGTAACAGACAGGCATGGCTGCCCATGTTTCGGATGAGGGGCCCTGGGCCTAGCTATCTAGGGAGCTTTAGCTATAGAAGGGGAGGCCACTGGATGCCAGCGTGGCCTTTCCAGCATCCAATCAATGCATCCATCTGTGGCTTCCCTGCACTTCCCAAAGAATTGGCTAAAGAGACCTTGGGGCAGATGGCAGTGGAAGGGCCAGGGCCATTGCAGGACCAGCTGTGGGCTGAGCCACCTCCGAGCGCCCACTGGAGGCCTGACCCAGAGTTCTCCTGCACACTGGCCTCACAGGAGCAGCCGCCACAGCTGTGGTCTCTTTCTGGCTGTCACCGTGTGACTGGTACAAGCATCAGGGTCCCCAGAGAGCCTGCTGCCTGGCACGAAGTCACACAGTAAAGGCACAAGCAGGACGGGAACCTGAGGGCCCTGACTCGGAGCACAGGGTCCTGATTCTTCCCCCACACCCTGCCCCCACCCATCTCCCAAATATTTCCTATCATTTTCTTTCTAACTCACTTGGAAAATGTGGGCCTCGCTCTTGGTTATTTAATAACAAGATCACAGAGTTGTAAAACCTCGCACTCGTGAAGTAAATCAGTCACACAATACCGCAGATCGTGTGATTTCCATATATATGAAATTTCCAGAACAGGAAATCCACAGAGACAGGAAGTAGATTAGCGGAGCCAGGACAGGGGTTGGGAGGGACGGGAAGGACTCCTACATAGGGGAGGGGAGAGCTCTACAGCTGCCTGTCGCAGCGATGGCTTCACAACCGTGAACAAAAGCCATCGAGCCATGCACTTCAAGCGGTATGTAAATTGTATCTCGATCAAACTGCTGCTTGAAAAAAATCACCAGCCTCTCTCGCCCATTTCCCTGCCTGTAAACCGGTGATTGCGAGGCTGCTCTTGCCGCTGTAAGAAACACGGTTTGTTATTTTACTTTCGCTAGTTTACATTTACGGAGCCACACAGCAAACATAAGGGACGGCGCAGTGGAAAGGAAGCAGCCGACTAAACGACACCGCCTATGTCGGGGGTGGACACGAAGGTGGACAACGAGGATTTAGAAAGAAACATTGGGTAGAGTTTCAAGGGGACCGCGGTGGAGAGGACAGAGCCGGAGGGTGCATTCATCCACCAGGCGCTGCTATAACAAGTTGCCTGAGGGTGCAAGCTGGATAAAGAGGTTTTCCAGTGACAACGAAGGTCCAAATAGCACAGTGATACCATCCTGGAGAGGACCGGGTTGGGTGACAACGCGGCAGAGAAGCGGGAAAAGGAAGAGACCACAAGCAGGAGGGGTCAAGCATTCCAGGCGGCCTTGCTTCCTAACAACTTGCACCCTCAAGGCTCCAGGAGACCAGTGCTGATCTCGTCCTGTTATCACATCCCCTTCCAGTGGACCCCGCCCCTCAGAGTTCACCACCTGGACACCGAGACACTGGGCCAAACAGTCCAGTGCCTGCTCCTCTGGGGGACAAACACACCCGAACCGTAGCAGATGCAGTGGGTTGACACGGGTGCTGGGAAACTTCAAACAGAGGCTGAAGGAGTGAACCATGTAGCTACCTAAAGGAAGAGAGTTAGGACAGAGTGCAGCAAGAGCAAATGCCCTGAGGCAGGATGAGTTTTCGGGATCTAAGGAATAGCTGAGAGGCCAGAGGGGCTGGAGAGGGGAAGAGGTGGCTCCACCCAGGGTAGAGACAGCCAGCTGGTAAGAAGTTGCTGGGGTCTGTTATCCTCTGAAGGCAGGGCTGACAGGATTTCCTGATGGAGGGACTGTAGATGGCAGAGCTGGCCAGGTGACAAGCTTTAGGACTGAGCACCTTGGAAGTGGGGGTGTTGTCCCCTGAGACCAGAGGCTGGGGTGACACAAAGGAGCCGAGTTTGGATAGGTGGCACTGGGACAGAGGCCACCTTTGGGCAGACAAACACGGACAAAGCTCTCTGAGCTGGTGGCATCCATATCTAGGCTGTCAGGAGGGAGCCCCGCGACTCCCACAGTGCCCGAGAGACTGCCTGGAGAAGGCGCTGGAGGCACTGGAAGTAGGAGAGGCAGGGAAGTGAGGAGAGGCCGAGGAAGGCAGCCACCTGCATCCATATCTAGGCTGTCAGGAGGGAGCCCCGCGACTCCCACAGTGCCCGAGAGACTGCCTGCTGCATCCTGTGATGGCCTGGAGAAGGCGCTGGAGGCACTGGAAGTAGGAGAGGCAGGGAAGTGAGGAGAGACCGAGGAAGGCAGCCACAGGGAACTCTCAGCACGGAGGGCCCAGGCTGCCCTCCCGAGCTCCAAGGCCCTTACTGACCTGAATTCTGTCACCGGGTCCTGCTAGGTGCTGCTCACTGCAGGCGCCGGCACGCCCATGCACAAAAGCAAACTTCATCCCAGCAGGAGGGGAGTGAGCTCAGGGAACAAACACAATAAAGTAGTGAGGGTCGCGGTGCCTTGGAAAGCAGCGCTGGCTACGCAGGGAAAAGAAGGAAGGCAGAGGAGGTGGAGAGGTAGGGAGAAGGAGGACTGAAGGGGGATAGGCTGGTGGAGGGGGCAGCATTTGGACAAAACTGGAGGAAGCAGGGTGAGGCCCACCGGGAACACGGCCCCTCCCTTGCTTGACTCCCTGCTCCCAGCTGCCCTGCTTCCCTACAAAGTCCCCTGCCACTTTCTCCTCTATCTTTCGCTGTTCCCGGCCCCTCCCCTGCCTCCCTATCCTTTCCTCCCTGTCGTCTCCCTCCTGTGTCCTCTACCTCTTTCTTGTCGCTGCCCTTGCTGGGAGACAGAAGTGAGAACGAAAAGCCAAAAACAGCAAGGAGGAAGAAGCTCCCACCCAGGGAAGGGGCTCTGTGCAGCCTGGGGCAGGGGACTGGAGCTGCCCAGAGTTCTGGGGTGGGACCTGTACCCCAGGAGGATCACAGGCCTGTGACTCTTTTATGAGAAGTAAGAAATATGATCTAGCAGATTAGAGGAAACACGTGGCTTATTTCCCCTTGCTACCATGGCCAATTAGAAAAAGGGAAATTAAATCACAAAGCCTGGGCCATGTCTGTTCAACAGACTAAGAGCAGGTATTCGTCCAGCCCTGCATAGAAGGAGTGGATCCAGAGCCCTCCTGACTCGGGCACTTCGTGAGTACCTCTGGACTATCAAGTCCCAGGGACCTTCCTGTCTCCCCCGCAAGTCCACCCCTCCCATCAGGACAGGTGACCACCAGGGTGAAGAGTGGGGTGAGAAAAACACACTCACCCAAGCCAGCCTGTCCATTGGGACTGCGCTGAGCAGCTGGAAGTTCCAGAAGGTTCCAGAAAGGACCAGAAGGGAGGTGCATCCCCCTCCCCGTATCGTAGACCTTGGACCTAGACAGGACATGTCAACTTCAGAGTCAGCAGGAATGACATCACACACACAGAACAGACAGGCACACCACGGTGAGAGCTGGCAAAGAAGATAGGGGGCAGGCGTCTACTGAGTCCAGGGAGCAGGGGTTGGAGGCTGGTTCTAACCCACCATGCCCTGCCCCGTCTGCTCCGTACAGCATATAGGGAGAGGATGGACCTGAGACTGGCTGCATGAGCATCCTAGTGGCCGAGGAGAGAGGTGGGTCCTGCGGTGGGCAGGGTGGGCACAGTAGGCTCCTCTCTGGATGCCCCCAGCATGTGACTGCCATTTCCATCTTCTGGTGACCTTATTCCAAGTGTCCTAGAAGCCGGATGAGCGGGAGTCAGGGTCATCAGATGTGCTCACTGTAATCAATTACTTGATCAATTTAATTTACATAGCATAGCACACAAGCAAGCATCAGATCCCCCATGATCTAGTGACAAACCCACCAGCGTTTATATCTCACACACAAAAGTTCAGAGGTAGCCATCAGAGGCTGGGAAGGTCTTCCCATCAAGCCATCAGGCACGCAGGCTCCTTCTTTGTTTCTGCTCCTCCATCCTAGAAGTCACCTCTTGGTTTGAGATGGCTGCTGGTGTTCCAGCTATCACAACTATAATCTAGGCAGCAGGATGGAGGGAGGGAGAGAGAAGAGACAAAAAGGAACAGCGCCTCTCTTCTGAAAGGATTTTCTACGTATCCAGTATTTCACTTCTACTGAACTTTCAGCGGCCAGAACTTAGCCACAGGTAAGTTCCCCTGAGAGCCTTGGTTGAACTGAGGACAGTTCCAGAGCATGTGAACTGGGACATGTGATAGCAGGTCCTGGTCCTGGAACTGTCACCCTTGCCCCAGTCACCAGCTCTGAGGGAAAGGGTCAGGCTGTGAGCCCAGCCCGCCTGTCTCTGTGACTTGTGCTCTTAGTTACTACCCCACACTATATCCTTAAATTCCGGTTCCAGCTTCACACCTTACCAGCCATGGGAACCTAGCAAAGCCCTCTGAGCCTCAGCTCTTACATCCATAAAGTGGGAGAACTAATAGCAGCCACCTCGAGTGGCTGGATGTGGAGCAAGTCAGATTATTAATGGAAATAGATGAAGATCGTGCATGAAGCAGATCAAGAAACCAAGGCTCTGAGCCTGTGGAACATGAGTTAAAATCACAAGAGAGGTGCTGGGCCCCACTGCTGCCCTGATGGAACAGCCCATTCTGCTGTAAGTGAGGGGTCCCTGAGGTCCCTGCAAAAGACCACTCCACAGCACAGTAAGGGGAGCACTTTCCAAAGTCCTCATCTCCAAGGAGCCCATGGGCCTCCTGGTGCTTCTCCTCAATGAGATACTCAGCGCAGGTCTGGCTGGGCTCTGTTCTCATCTCCTTCCTGTCTCTGTCCCATTGCCCCCGGCATCTGCTGGTTCAGAGAGGAGCAGCCTGCAGAAGGAGGTTGCCCATTGCCATGGAAACCAGGGCTAGAACCCAGCACCCTGCAGCTCCCAGGATGGAGGATGTGCTGCCTCTGAGTCCTAAGTCCCCAGATGTCCTCCCAGCGTGTGCACACGTACACACATATACACGCATTCTCAGAAGGCAGCCAGCTGACTTACTGGGACCAAGTGTCCCTGGCTAGTGGGAGACTGGAGAAACTTGTCTCACAGTCAAGGACAGCAAAGGAAAGGGTTGATCCGAAGGGGCCAGGACAGATCACTGAGGACAGTCGTTGGCTGTCACACTCAGGAAACCACCCTCCTGGGCTAGTGCATGGCTATGAGTAGAAGCCACACCCCAGCAAGAGATCAGATCCTCCAGGAGGCAAATGAGTCTTGCAACTCCCAGAGCAACAATGCGACCCAGGCAAGGTCCTCAGTGGAGGCAGTGAGGCTGACTTATTTGTTACAGTAAAGCAAAACAGATTACTGTCCAAGGGACAAATCTAGCACACATTGCCTTAGCCACCTGATCAAATGTCAGGTCACCAAAAATGAGACGAACCAACACTGCACGCCTCCTTAGGTGATAGGATAACGAAGACACAGCAACCCCCTTTGGCATTCTCAGCAGAAACTTGAACTGAGTGGAACAGCAGAAAATAGCCAGATGTCTTCAGGTAGTGGGGCATTTTCCAAGCCGTCTGATATGGACTCTTCAAAGTGTCAATTACAAAAAAGACCAAAAGATGAGACTGAAGGAGACTAAAGGGCTGTGACAATTATGCAATGCGCCAGTGGTAAGTGGATCTCGGATGGGGATAAAACAGCTATCACAGGCATTTCTGAAACAGTTGGAGAAATCTGAATATGAACAGTACACCGGATAGCATTGCAGGATCCATGTTAAAGTCCTTGGGTCTGATAATTACTTCTTTAGCTGACATGGAAGACAGTCCTGCTTCATAGGAATACATGTGGATTATTTGGGAGCCCAGAGTCTGGTGTTTGCAACCTGCTTTCCAATGATCAGAAGAGAGAAGAGAGAGAGAAAGAGGGACCAGTGCTGACACTGGGTAAATCTGTGTGAGGGACAGACAGACATGCGAGGGACTGTGCTTTCAACTTTTCTTTAGGTTTGAAACGTTCAAAATCTTAAACACTTAGAAGAAAAGATTCTTCAAAGAGGAGTCCAATAATCCCAGATGTTTCCCAATGTTTCTGCGCATTTCTGCAGCAAGGAGTGGACGCCTCTTCCATCCCTTGTGGTCCCCTGGGCCCGTGGGTCTGGTCTTCACCTGCATGAGGTAGGTTGTGGTTTACCAGGCCGAGTCCCCCCAGCTGGGCTCCACCCAGAGAGGGAACCCTCCATGGCACCCGATGTGGGTAGCAAGGGTAGTGCAGGTTTGGGGTCGGGTGTGGCCAATCTGTCCAAGGCTTTTTGGCTTGCTTCAGATGGAAATCATGAACTGGCGGAGGACAACTTCGTTCACAGTCCTGACACTGGGTTCAGGATGGTTCACCCGACGACACCGGGTAATGCCGGATGCCAGCTGTTGTGCTGGACACTGTAGGTAAGCTCCATGCAGTGCTGGACCCCGTAAGTCAACCGTACCACGTGCTGGTCTCTGGAGCTCTTCGGTGCTTACAGCTCTGAATGTTTACTGATCTTTCTTTTGAGGATCACCCTGTCGACACTACTCATGCTAGAAATTCAGCGCAGGATTGACAGGACTCTTGGAACCCACACTACCCAGGTCAGCTTTACAGGGACACCAACCAGAGCGGCACAGCAGGGTCTGTGCACAGGGAGACCTGCTAGACTAAACCCTGGGAGGGGCTGGGGAGCCACTCAGGTAGCAGCCAGCAGACTTTGTCAGTGAGCGGCAGGGCTGAGGGCTTGCTGAGAGTGTGGCTGTGCGGATGGGGGCCCAGCTCCCTCCCTTCTGGGTCTTAGCCACCTCAGGGTGCCTTCCCCTTCCTCCAAAAGGCAACAGTACTGCCTGCGGTGGCAGGGGTGGGCGAGGGGCACGCTGGCCACCAGCCGAGCCACTCCCCGCCTCTGCTGGCACAGGGAGAAATGAGTCAAGGGCTTTGGAGAAAACTTAGTGTCTGGCATCCTCTTCTGGAAACCTCCCTTGGTTTCGTGACACACACACTTGCAGCCCACTTCATGTATCACAGCTGCTCCTCCCCTCCTCCTGTCGCCTTCTCCCTCCTCCCCTCCTCTTTTCTTGCGCCTCTCAGCCGCCCAGTAACACACTTTCCCTTTGAAGTCGCCAGCCACTACGGGCTAAACAACCAAGGCACCTCCACAAGGTTGATGCCTAGATTGCTTCTGGGAAAGCCACCTTCCGCCTGCCTCCCTGGGAACCTGACTCTCTACAAAGCCCTAACACCCTCACTCCTCGGTCAGTGACAGTGACAGCTACTACCCTCCGAGCATGAACCATGTGCCACACACCACGCCCAACACTGGTGCTCCGGAACTGGAGACTGAAGATGGCTGATGAACCTGCCCAGGGTCCGAAGCAAGGAAAGGGGGACCCTACCCAGGCCACGATTTATCAGCTGCTTTCCAACTTGGCCAAAGAATGTGAAACTGCAGGTGGCCTGAGCCGTCTGAACTTTACACTGCAAATGTCTTTGGGCCCAGGCCTGGGTGGAGCAAGCAAACTAGAGGAAAGGACTAGAGAGACTGTGATGTTGGAAGTTGGCAGTAGTTGGAGAAAGTTCGCGCTCACACCTCAGCTGAGTGGCCCCCACTGCAGAACACAGATCCTGGGCATCAGGAAGATGCGGGGTGCTCCCTTAATGCAGGATCGCCACCCCACAATCATGACCTGACTCTGCAGCCTGGCCCCAGAGGTTTAGCTTCCTTCACGCCCCTCCTGGCTCCAAGCAAGCAGGGTGACTCTGGGGAAATAAACCGGGAAAGAGTCCGGAAATTTAATTAAAAGTAGCAACAATGAAGGGCACACTGTAAAACAGGAGATGGTTGAATTGCTTGGAAGTGGAAGAGGGCAGCAGAGGAGCAGAGGCCTGGGAGAGGAGAGGAGAGGAAGAAAGGGAGGAGAGGAGAGGCTGGGGACAGGACAGAAAAGGCCTGGGAGATTTTTGATCTGGACTGCATCTGATTTCTTCTGAAATGTGAAAGCAGATCCATTCTGGCTGGGGTCTCTGAGTCAGGTGGGAAGAGAGACTGGGGACCAGGAGTAGAGAGAGAGAGAGGCAGAAAGACAAGAACCAATGCTTTTGAATGTACTCTTGTAGGTCAGTACTCTCCCGAGGAAATTCCCTAAGAAAAGGTCGGAGCGGTTGGCTTATCTACCCAAAGTCACACAGTCAAAGAGCCGTGAGTTCACCTTCCCCTCAATCTGGACTGACATGGGTCTGTTTGGAACTTCACAGAACGGGATCCCTTCAATGGCGCCAAACAAGGTCCATGAAGAGAGCAACAAGGACCTTCTGAGGCCACACAAGTGAGCTGAGTCCAGCTGCCAGGGCTGAGCAAGAGAGCCCAAGAGGCAGACAGAACCATCAAACTCAGGAACTAGACTTTGAGTAACAACCCCCTTCCCAGAAGGAGAAAACATGACATGGGTGGGTCAAGAAAAGGGACCCAGAACCATCACACCCTGCTCCGTGGGCTCCCAAACTATCACTGCACCTTCTTTTGGTCACAACAGTCTTGAGTTCGACGCCCGATACTGTTTCTTGTGTTGTTTTGCTCTATCGCTGAAGCTCTCTGAGCCTCAGTTTCCCCTGCTTAAGAAGGCAGCTCTGGCTGTGTTATTCTCAGGTTGCTCCTTGAGCACCCCCATGGAGGATGGAAATGGGGGGCATCCCCTCTGCCAACCCACTCCTGTATCTCACCCCTCAGACACGTCAGATGTGCTGGAGGGAGCCCCCGTACGTGAAGCCCAGGGTGATTTCTTTTAGGAACAAAACAGGCTTCCCTGACGTACCTGCGTTATAGGTCTGGCGCTCGGAGGTGGGTGGAAATCTGTGATCCCCCCCGCAACTTTCCTGACTGCCTGCTTGGGCTGTGCTGTGAAGCTTTGGCTCCCACTCTTCTCAAATTCTGAGCTCATTTCCAAATCCGCTGAAGTAGGTGCAGGAGGTGGGCAGCCCTGGACCTACCTGCTGACCTCTTTGGTCTGGGTCCCAAGGTGGAGCAGAGAACAGCAGGAGTCAGCCTCATGTGAATCCACCTGTGTGGGTGATGGTTAAATTTGTGGTTTTTAAATCTTTATTAAGTTTATTGGTACATTTTAGGTATACAATACAGTTACATTCATCATTGGGATCTTGTGTCTTTACATGACTTATCTTGGTTCTTATTTTTTACCCATGCCCCAGCCCTCCCTTCACCCCCTCCACCCTTCCCTGTTTACAAAGACATCATTTCCATGGTTTTTTTTGTATATTTTTTCTTTTCTCTTTTTCCCTTTTCTCCTACCCCTCCCACTTCCTCTACTCTTTTAGACCTTTCCTTCTTATTACACAATATCAATTATATATTTTGATCCTTATTTACACTTTTAGTTTTTCACACTAGAAAAACTATTTGGTATTTATGCATGTATGACTCTTACTAATTACACTTAAGAATACGGCCTCAATGTGCATCTACTTAGCTATAAATATCTCTAGTTTCTCATTCTTCATGGTTGAGTAGTACTCCATTTTATTTTTAAAAACCACATCATTTTTATTCAGTCTCCAGTTGATGGGCAAATGGGCTGTTTCCAAGTTTTAGCTATTACAAACTGTGCCGCTATAAACATGGGTGCACATATATCACTGTGGTATGATTCTTTTAATTCTTTTGGGAAGATCCCCGGCAAAGGGATAGCTGGGTCAAATGGGACCTCTAATCCTAGTTGTTTGAGGTATCTCCATATGGATTTCCATAGTGGTTGCACCAGTCTGCTCTCCCATCAACAATGGAGGGTTCCTTTCTCCCCACAACCCCGCCACGATTTGTTATTGGTCCACATCATTTTTATTCAGTCTCCAGTTGATGGGCAAATGGGCTGTTTCCAAGTTTTAGCTATTACAAACTGTGCCGCTATAAACATGGGTGCACATATATCACTGTGGTATGATTCTTTTAATTCTTTTGGGAAGATCCCCGGCAAAGGGATAGCTGGGTCAAATGGGACCTCTAATCCTAGTTGTTTGAGGTACCTCCATATGGATTTCCATAGTGGTTGCACCAGTCTGCACTCCCATCAACAATGGAGGGTTCCTTTCTCCCCACAACCCCGCCACGATTTGTTATTGGTTGATTTCTGGATAGCAGCCATTCTTTCTGGGGCAAGATGGAATCTCAGTGTGGTTTTCATTTGCATCTCTCGAATGACCAGTGACGCGGAATGTTGATTTCTGGATAGCAGCCATTCTTTCTGGGGCAAGATGGAATCTCAGTGTGGTTTTCATTTCCATCTCTCGAATGACCAGTGACGCGGAATGTTTGTTTTATATGTTTATTTGCTGCTTTTACTTCTTTGTCTGAGAAATGTCTGTTCATTTCAGGTGCCCATTTTTGAATTGGGTCTTTATATATGGTTAAATTTGTATGCCAACTTGCCTGGCTCAGCGCTGCCCAGGTTGCTGGTAGAATATTATTTCCGGTGTGCTCTGAGGGTGTTTCTGGAAGAGGTTAGCTTTTGAGCAGGTAGACTGAGTAAAGAGGATTCACCTCACCAATGTGGGTAGAGATAACATGATTTGTCGAGGGTCTACCGAAAGCGAAAGGGTGGGAGAACGGCAGATTCGCCCTCCTCTGGAGCTAGGACAGCTCTTCCTGCTCTGGGTTCCAAGACCTCCAGATTTGGACCGGAACCACGCCACCATCTTTCCTGGGCTTCCAGGTGAGAAGTGCAGCTCCTGTCCCTTATCAGCCCTCACCTGAGCCACCCCTCATCATAAATCTCTACAGATCTCTACACGTGCTTCTGCTTCTGTTTCTCTCAACAACCCTGATTGCTCCCTCCAGGAGCAAAGCAAGCCCTGACTCTTACCATCCCGTGGCCTGAGGTTAGTGTCCCCAGGAAACAAAGATCTGCGTGTGGAGAATTACTGGGGGGAAAGCTCCCATTAGCAGCAATGCTGAGGGGATACGGGAAGCAGGATTAGGCAGAAGGAGAGGTTGAACCCTAGGCAGTTGCAACGAAGCCTCCGCCCTTCCCACAGGGAGACCTGGAGGTGCAATGGCCTTTTGGGTGGTCCTGAATCCAGGCAAAGGGGCTGGAAGGTTGCACCTTGCACCAACGGCTCCCTGGATAGGGCCCCTTGTTCCAAGGCAAGACAGTTCCCCCTGGCAGACCCTTCTGGAGAAGGGACTTAGCTACGCACTATCTCAGCAGCTCGATGACGAGTACCTCAGTCCCCAAAGGGAGGTCTGTGCAGTGACCACAATACCTGCAGGGTCCACCCTTATCCCACTGTGATCCACCAGCTTCAGAGCCAGCTCTTCCAGGATTCTGGTCGACCTCTCCTCCTCTGAAAACTTAAAAAAGGAGATGGCTGAGGGCTTGAATCCTAGCTTCTTGGTGCTGCCCCTCATCCCAAGACTGGGACCCTTGTCTCCCTCCTCCCCTGCCCCTGTGAGATTCCCTTTGACCCCAGTTGGTCTGGTGGCTTCACCAAGTGGGACCCCTGAGACCCTCATCCACAGTGGGCCTGGGCCCCCAGTCACCATGCCCTTCTCAGTCCCATGGCTACTGCACTTACCTATTCACTGTCAAAAATTGGCAAGGCGACCCTAAGAGATGCCCTCCCTCATCGGTCAGTGGAGCACCAAAACTGACTTCTCCCACCCCAATGAGAGCAATCCTCTCCCTCCTGCCAGCCAACCAGGACCGTGACTGCTGCCAATATGGCGAGGCTCTTCCCGACCTGCCGGTCTTTGGATACAAGGCATCCAAAGTGACCAGGGAGCACCGAAGGCTAACTTTTAATGGGCCTCGTACTCTCTACCCTGGTAAAGTGTTCCCACTCTGGGAACCAGTGCAGAACTTAGACACAAAGAGTTTAATGCTGCAGGGACAGGAAGAAGATTCCTGAGTGACCACCAAGACTGACAGAAGAAAGTCCACCCTCCGTCACCTTTCAGGTGCCACACCCATGCACCTGCCTCCTGAGGATAAAGCACCATACAAAGGTGAGCATCGTGGGGATAGAGTGGGTATCCTCTCCTCACAGGGTGTCACCTCCGAGCTGTCCCCATCAGGCCAACCTAGGCTCCAGCTCCATCAAGACTCAGAAGCCCTTGAAAGCTATTTTCCACACAGTGCCTAATTTTCCACTCCAGATGGCGCGGCCTTGTTCCAGAACTGCAGGGAGCTAACTTGTTACTCTGCTCTTAGGGCTTGCCACAATCTCACACTGTTCCCGC